GTGTGTGTGTGTGTGTGTGTGTGTGTGTGTGTGTGTATGTGTGTGTGTGTGTGTGTGTGTGTGTTTGTGTTTGTATCTGTGTGTGTTTGCATGCGCACATTATGTGTTTATGTGTGTGCCTGTGTGTTGCAACTCACCCTGCCCCTCTCTTGAGCTGTCTGCATATCTCGTTGTCTTTTGTTTTGTTCTGCATTTTGTTGAACATCGCCTGAGCAAAAAGGGCAGACGCCATCTGCTCCTTTGGCCAGACATAGTCACACAGAAAAAAATAAATCGCTATCTCATAGAGAATTACAAAGTTCTATCTGACATTTTTGGGCGTTTTGAGTTACTAAGGGGCCCAATGTTCTATATTATTATGCCCTATCAAAATCGTAAGACTATTCAGAGCCGTTATCTAAATATTCAAAGAATTGAATGCATAAAAGCTTGACAAGTTGCGAAACTTAAAACTTTTAACATCAAATTTCTCAAAACTAGGTACTGAGTAGATAGAACTTCCACTAATTTTACGGTAGCGAAACAGAGAAGTGCTCCCAATGGCAGGCTGGGAAAGATCTCTTATCAAAGGGAGTGCTTATTTAGGCCACATATGGCCTAAATAGGGTCCCCCCCCCGGAACATTATTTAGGCCACATATATGCTCAAACTACTTTTTTCACGCAACTGAGTTCGTTCCACTTTCATAATGGTGCACCTTTCTCGTTTTGTACAGTTTTGTCTCAATGTACAACTTATAAATCATAATCATAATGAAAATTGTAAGAACAAAGCACAATACGCAAAATTTTGCTCAATCCCACAGGTTTGAATGAGGGCCAGGTTTTTCCTTCATGGAGGGGCAAAAGCTAGGCTACCATTTGGCACACATTGGTCAAATGAAAAGGTGAAATACTCTGAATGGACTTAAGGGGTCAAATTTGGTGTATAAAAAATGAGTACTCAAACCGAAACAACGTGCCTGAGTCAGTTACACTATCGTTGCTTGTGTGGCACTCTCTCGTACTGTCTCGTAGTAGTAGTACTAGGCAGTTTAGTGAACGTGCCCGCGGCAGGGCGAATCGGCCTCGATACGCCCCGTAGACTTTTGTGATCAGTCACGAAGCCTCGTGTTTTGATGGGTCTAAGCAACTCAGTTTTGTTAATCGCACTGCCACATCCGACAGGCCTACACCTTTTTAAAAGGAAAAGAAAGATAATCAAAATGGTGGTCTTCGCGTGAAAATCGATTCGATAGAACTTGAAATGTATTAACATTTACTTCAGAAAACAAGGTAAGTTGTACTACGCGATGAAAGAAAAACTAGATCTACTGGCTGCGTTATCCTGTATTTATATATAAATTATGAAACTTCAAGACATATTATTATTTTCCAACATCTTTTGACGCCTGAGCTGTATAGGTTGAAGTTTTCGACTTTCCGTAAAAATGCATAGATCTACAAAAGCTGAACCACCGAATCGACCGGAAGGTCAGCGACCTCGGCCCCCCGCTCTCCCCTGCACATTGTGATAACGTTTTGCTTCGGCATCGCATTATTCAACAGAGTGATACGTGCAGCAGTGACAATTGTGATGTACTGACAGACAAAAAAAATCACAGTTTTGTTTTTATGTTACCATATATTTGACTTTTGAACAGTGCAAGTGATAGCTAAATCAAGATCCTCTGTCTAGAATCAGTAGTGGGCCTAGGCTATAAGAAGCAGCCACACAAGCATGCACACACACACACACACACACACACACACACACACACACACACACACACACATACACACACACATACACACACACATACATACACACATTAGCACGTGTGCTTTGGGGTGTGGAAATGAAATATTGTAAAACGAATCGCACAGTTCTAGTTAATTTTAGATTCAGCATCTAACTATATTTTCCAGAGTCAATAATAAAAAATCTCAAAATAACAATCCCTTTTACTTTTATTAGATACAACTCCCCCCACCTATCCCCCCTCCCCCCCCCCTCCTCCCCCCCCCCCCCCCCCCCACTTAATTCTGTTTTGAGCAAACTTACTAGATTCTAGAAGAGAACAGAGATTATAATAAGCATCTGCTCAGTCTATCACTACATAATAATTTAATGTTATTATTTTCTGGATATTTTTGCATTATCGAATTGTGCCATTTTCTTTGATAAGAATAGTATTAGCAGTGGACTTTTTTGACATCGAGTCTCTGACTCAATAATTTTTTTTTTAAATTGTGCTAATCAATGAAAATTGATAATAACTGAGAACAACACTTGTCATAAATAGTGAAGAAAAATGTGTGAAAAAAATAAGATAATGAGGTACAAAACAAACAAGAAAAGAAAAAGTAGATCTTACCATCCTGCATACTCATATTATGACCCTTTTCAGTTGCGAGCACAGTAAAACACAACAACAACAACAACAACTGCACTACTGGCAAAAATCAGGACCTGTCACTTCTCTGGGCTGCGGGCCTACAAAAAATAGAATAGACAAAATATCGGACCCAATCTGTCCATTGTGCAGCGAGGAGCCTCAAGATTTGGAGCATTGACTGCAGAGGTGCCCCGCCACGGAGGCATTTCTTTGGGGAGGATTCAGAGAGGTTGGACTGCCTCACACCCCTACCCAAGAGAGGCGGTGGCCCTGGTGAAGAGCACACTCTTTGGGGCTCCAAACATTTTGAATGGATAGGCTATCACACACACACACAACAACAACAACAACAACAACAACAACAACAACAACAACAACAACAAATATGAAAATGAAAGTTGATCTTACCATCCCCTCTTTCCAGAAAACCTTGGACATATCTGTGTATCCCATGAGCAGAGACCACAGGAACAGAGCAAGAGCCGGCGACTCCATGGGTATATGCGGGTCTGAAAATTTTTTTTTGGGGGGGGGGGGTAATGATGGCAGGGTTTATTACGCCACCATAGATTTTTTGTGGATAACACTTTGGTGTTTTAAAGCACTCGCAACTACAAACGGTCATATGAGCGCGAAGAGCACATCAAACATTTTCTGTTGGTAGGAAAATTTTGAATTTTACCCAGTTGGCAGCCGAAGCCTACTCTTATCGCGATACAACATTCCAGCAGAAAGACAGAGATACTCGAAACAAATTGCTCTTCTCTCAGGAATTTAACTCGGGTCTCCTGTATGTGTCAGCGAAGTGCCTAACCTCTGCACCACAGACGCTGTTTATTTAAACTTAAGTGTATCAACACTAATGCTCTATTTAAGAGGTGGGACGTACGATACGAATTAAATGCCCATGCCTAATAGAACTAAGCCAAAATGGTTGAGAGCCTTAGAGTACGAGAGTATGGATTTAACGCCCTTTATCAACACCACTCGATTATTAAGAGGGGAGAGTTTCGAATTTAACGTCCATCTCCGATAAGGCTGAGCCAAGTGAGTCTTGAAAACTCTACAAAACGATCGCGTTCAAGAACGCCCAGTCGGGGATTCGAACCGCGGGCGTCCGTGCCAAAGTCCACGATAACACAATATTTTGAGGTAAGAGCTCGCCTGTGGACGTTTGGGAGAAATCAAGTTGTCATACAGTATAAGAGAGAGAGAGAGAGAGAGAGGGGGGGGGGAGAGGGGGAAAGAAGAGAGAGAGCGAGGGAGAGGGAGAGGGAGAGGGAGAGGGAGAGAGGGGAAGAGAGAGAGCGAGGGAGAGAGAGAGAGAGAGAGAGAGTGTGTGTGTGTGTGTGTGTGTGTGTGTGTGTGTGTGTGTGTGTGTGTGTGTGTGTGTGTGTCTATGTGTGTGAGTGAGAGTGTATGTGTATTATGTCTTCTTCTTCTTCTTCCTCGTTCTCAAAATATCAGTGTGTATTTGAGTGTGTGTGTGTGTATGCGTCTGTATGTGAGTGTTTATGTGTGTATGTGTATGTGCGAGTGTGTGTGTGCGTGTATTATATAATGTGTGTGAGAGAGTCCGTTTGAGTGCAAGTGTATGTGTGAAGTGTGTGTGTGTGCAAGTGTCTGTGTGTGTGTGTGTGTGTGTGTGCGTGCGTGTGTGTGTGTATGTGTGTGCGTGTGTGTGTGTGTGTGTGTGTGTGTGTGTGTGTGCCTGTATGATGTACGTATGTGAAGGTGGGTGTATGGTTGATGAGGCCACTTGCCTGAGCTGTCACTGTAGAGCGGGGTCCAGTTGAAGGTAGGTAACATGAGGTCGCTGACCACATCGTCAACGCACTTCAGCTCAAACTTCTTGGGCTGTCCAGTGGACTCATCAGGTAGGCCCTTGCAACACAATAAGGTCAAATAAGTGCCGAAGATTAGAGGTGTTACAAGAAAGTAACGTACACAAAAAGGAGAGGAGATCAAGACGGTAGATGTTTGATAGGAAAGAAAAAGCAAAAAAAAACACACCACAGCACCCGCCAACTAATCACAAGCGGCGTGGTGAAACCAGGCACTCGTCAAAATAAAGGAGTAAAAGAAACCAAGAATCTTCCTCCCGTTAGTTTATTTTTATACCTTTTTTTTAACACATGACAGCCCTCAACTCAAAAGATGCATTAATTCCCTGAGTAGAAAAGAAAAGGTCATGATCTTTCGCCTGTGAACACAACACATCCCACTAAATTCCTACCTTTATAGGATCCGCAAGGATACCCCACCCGACTGCCCGTTGTGCGACTGCCAGGATGAAACAGTACCCCACCACCTGCTCCTCTTTAACTGCCCTGCACTTTGAGACCTGCGTAGCACCTACCTACCTGCCTCCCCAGACATAGAAATTACTCTATACAGCGACAAAGCACAACTGATTAAATTGATAATTCTTTGCCACATCGACAGACCGAAGGGCTAGAACCCAAATGGCCACTGGATCGGAAAAGAAAAGTAAGTAAAGTATGCATTTTTTTCTGGTGAGTTGGGCAGGGTGGGGGGTGAGGGTAACACCTTTTATGTCCATAATTATGCACATTTCTGGGAGGATCTTAGAAGTAAACGTTGAACAAAAGCACCCAAAAGCTTTGTACATTTTTCAGTTTGTAAGGCCATTAAATTGAAGCTTTGGAAGTCGCCAAACGTTGGCAGCCATTATCTGGCATATTTTATCTCACACCAGTCGACCCCCATATCTTTCAATCAATGATATATTGGCTTCTGTTCAAGACAGATGAGTATTTTTGAAAATCAAAAGCAAGACCTATTTCCATTTTTTAAAATGTTATCAATAACACCTACTACCCAATAACTGACAAGCACCTAGATCCATCCGCCCACCATTTCAAACAAACTGCTACTATTAACAAACTATTACTACAGTACATACAGAGAAAAAACTACTCCATACAAACAAACTACTTCACCAGTACACAAACAATTTACTACACCAGTACACAAACAATTTACTACACCAGTACACAAACAATTTACTACACCAGTACACAAACAATTTACTACACCAGTACACAAACAATTTACTACACCAGTACAGAAACAATTTACTACACCAGAACAGAAACAGTTTACTACACCAGAACAGAAACAGTGTACTACACCAGAACAGAAACAGTTTACTACACCAGTACAGAAACAATTTACTACACCAGTACAGAAACAGTTTACTACACCAGAACAGAAACAATTTACTACACCAGTACACAAACAATTTACTACACCAGAACAGAAACAATTTACTACACCAGTACACAAACAATTTACTACACCAGTACACAAACAATTTACTACACCAGTACACAAACAATTTACTACACCAGTACACAAACAATTTACTACACCAGTACACAAACAATCTACACATAAACAAAGTAGGCTACATCAGTACACAAACAAATAACTACTTTACACAAACTATTACTACAGTACACACAAACAAATTGCTACACCAGTAAACAAACAAACTACTTTTTCACACAATCAAAGTACGACACCAGTACACAAACAATTTACTACACCAATACACAAACTACACACAAACAAACTACACCAGTACACAAACAATTTACTACACCAATACACAAACTACACCAATACACAAACTACACCCAAACAAACTACACCAGTACACAAACAAACAACACACAAACAAACTACACACAAACTACATCTGCACAAAAAACAACTACTCCAGTACACAAACAAACTACTACACCACACAAACAAATAACTACACCACATAAACTAACTACTTCTCCAGTACATAAACAAACTACACACAAACAAGCTACGCACAAACGAACAACTACATCAGTACACAAACAAACAACACACAAACAAACTACAAACAAACTACACACAAACAAACAAATACACCAGTACACAAACAAACTACTACACCAGTACACAAACAAACAACACACAAACTAACTACACACAAACAAACAATACACAAACAAATTACACACAAACAAAAAACTGCTCCAGTACACAAACAAAGACTCCAGCACCACGCCAGCTCACGAACAAACAAACAAACAAACAAACAAGCAACCAAACTTCTCCTGCACACAAAAATCACTCACATATTTCTTTCGGTACAGGAAAAAGCGGTTGTGGATCTGAAATGAAAGGGAAACATAGACACTTTTAAGATAGCGCATGTGCGACATGGTAGTGAAATCAGGCGCTCGTCAAAACAATCCAACGAAGAAATTGACTCCTTTTCACTCGTTGAACTATTTTAATCGACTTTGATTATTTCTAGGCCTAGCATTCTTTACGTCAACTTGAAAACAGATCTCGGAGTGTCAAGTTTACTGAAAAGACGTTGATCAAAGACACAAAACTATGTAAATTGGCAGTTTCCAAGGCTCTTAAATTATCTCAAATGTGCCGATGGGTGAGGTGTAAAAACACCTACATTAAAAAAAGAAAATAAAACCCCACAATCAACATCATCCTCATCATCATCATCATCATCATTGTAGACTGCAAAGAGACAAAAAAACAAAACCGGTGGAGACTTGTAAGATTTTCAAAAAATTAATACGTTCCACATTTTGCCATCTTACTGTTTCGTCAGGAGCATTAAAAAACAATATTAATGACAAGACTAGACCCACACAATGGAAACTAAAGTGCGTACACGTACGTCGAAGTCGCAATGCTCAATGGTACTGGCGAGTATAATATATCGGAAAGGCCAAAGAAAAGGGAAAGCTATAGTAAGAAGTAGTATGAATATAATATGTTTATTCATATACCATCATCATCATCATCATCATCATCATCATCATCATCATCATCATCATCATCATCATCATCATCACAGACCAAACAATTCCCCTTCATCTTGAATCATAACAACTTGTTACATATTGGCACATATTATGTAACTTACAAACATAGGGACCACCATTTTTTTAAAATGAAAAATTAATTAACCCACCCCACCCCTGTGGATATGAGGCGTAATTGGTCGCTTTAAAGCACAAAGGGGCTGTTCCGAAAAATACTGTTTTTTTAGAAAATCGATGGTAAAGTTTTTGACCCTTGTTCAGTTTCTTTTAAAGACAAGGAGAGTTTTCTATATTATAACCAAACAATAAATATACACACTACTGAAAGCAAACTTCTCCTATAGGTAGGGCAAGGCCACTTTTGGTGAAGGTCAAGATTTCTGGAAACCCCCAAAATCTGGGTTAGCCCGCTTGTACTTCAAAGTGACCAATTGGGAGGCATTGTGGTGAAATCGGGTGCTCGTCAAAAGAATGAAATAATAGAAGAAATTAGCAATTTTCCACCATTTTGGAAATTTCAATCGTAATTTTGTTGGGGTCTTTTTGTTGTTATTTTTTTTTTTTTTTTTTTTTTTTTGCTCAACACCTTTAATGTCCATATAAAACACATTTCTGTGTGAATAGGAACAAAATATGTCATTTTTAAGTTTTCAACAACTCTCAAGCTATTGAAGTTACCTAGCTTTGGTGGCCGTTTTCTCTGTAATTTTACCTCTGAAACCTGGTGACCCCCACCTGCTTTGACCTCAAATATCTCGACTTCTATTCAAGATAGACGAGTATTTATTTCTTGAAAGTACCGCAAATGAACAAGCTTTTAGATGATACCAATAATGCCACATGACCAAAAATTGGCGAGTGCCTGATTCTACCACGTCGTGACACTATTTACCTTGTCCTGATAGAGCTTTGTAAGCTTGTCCCGTGTGAGCAGCTCGTTAAGATCCACCCGGAAGGAGAGGAACAGCTCCACAAACTGCACTCTGTTGCTGGCGATAGCGTCCAGCATGAGACGACCAAGGGTGCAGGAGGTCAGTGACTGGGGTCATGGGAAAGCGAACGGTATAGGATTAAGATAAAATAAGATAAGATAAGATAATATGAGATGAGATGAGATAAGATAGCATAAGATAAGATAAAACAAGATTAGATAAGACAGGTTAAAATAAGATAAGATACGATAAGATAAAATAAGATAGGATAAGATAAGATGAGATAAGATGAGAAAAGACAATACTTTATTATCCCAGAGGGAAAGGTTTCTTGGCTTTACAGGACCATAAAAACACATGCAGATATACATTTAAAAAAAATTAAATTATACATTACTTTCTTTAAAATTCAATAGATAAAAAGAGAAGTAAAGCTGACAAAATGTTCACATCACATCAGATGCATAATTCAACCACATGCAGGAATTAATTACAATAAGACCTTTAGCGGTTAGGCTCTCGAACTCGCAACCGTAAGGCGTGGGTTCAAATCCCGTCAAGCGCCCAATATTGCGTCTTTGGGAAAGGCACTTTACATGGATTTTCCTCACTTCACCAAGGTGGGAAAGGGTACCCAGCTATAGACAGGGAAAGATCTTGGCATCTTGTTAGTGTTTGAGCGCTTAATCAGCTGCTTGCACTTTATGCTTTCCGGGAAACCGAGAAAGTTTTTGAGTGTTTTGTGGTCTGCTGGGGAAATAAAATACAGTGTAAAGCGCATAGAGCTTGCTGTTGGGCTCGGGTATGCGCTATACAAATGCAATTTATTATTTATTATTATTATATCGGTTTAACGCCCCTATCAACACTACTGGGTTGTGTAAGAGGCGGTACCTTTTGAGTTTTAACGTCCTTCTCCGAAAGGACCGAACCAAATTGGAAATTTGGGTAAAGTGCCTTTCCCAAGGACACAACATCAGACTGAACTTAGGCTCGAACCTCCGAACTCGCAATCTCACTAGTATGTGTCTAGTAGCCTAACCACTAGGCTACCGACGCCACCCAAAACACTGCAGATGAAGTAAACACTTGAAGAATTATATTTGTCGGCTTTGTACTGTGCTCACCATTTCAGAACTTCACGGTGACCATAAAGATGGTTCCAATAGGGAACGGGATAGAGGGTGCCCACGTCCCTCGTGACTCATTGGAGCAGATGAAGATAGGACTAACGCTAACATTACTTTAACATAATCCCACATCATCTCTCATCGCCACCATTATTTCTAAAATCACCACTGCTCTCAGATCAATGACTTACATCTATAATCCTGGAATCTCTATCTGTGGTAACAATTACTTGTTATATTAAGTATGAACGTAATACACTATTGGACACTAACATACACACATTTTTCTACTTATCAGATGGCGTATAGCTCACATAAATGGGCATGGGATAATATATATATATATATATATATATATATATATATATATATATATATATATATATATATATATATATATATATATGTCGGCTTTGTGATTTGTCCGCTAACCCACGGAATATGTGCCACGACACAGGGGAATCAGGTGCTCGTCAATTTTGAGGCATAACGAATTATTAGTATTGTTTTAATAGCTTATCTATTTGTCTTAATTTTGATTTTTTTTTAGCAACCCATCTATGTTGAAAAGACGTCCAGATATTTTCCACTGAAAGTTGGGGACACCTGGTATCAGTGGTGAAATTCCCTAGAAAATAGCTGGCAGAATTAATGACTCACAAAGCATCTGTGTCTTTTAAAACTTCAAACGTATACTTTTGTGCCTTTGATTAATGTTTATAATATGTACAATCCACCTAAAGATATGTTTTTTAAATCGCGTAAAAGGTGTTGAGTCCCAGAAGTAGAAAAAACAATTGATAAAAATCGCCAAACAGGCGGAAAATGTCGGTTTCTTCGATTTCATTATTTTGCCAGATGTCTGATTTCACCACGGCGCCACCGTGAGTTTTGAGACACAGCTGTAGAGACAGGTTTTTTTTTAATGCATTACTTGGAATTACATCTTGGTGTGCAGTACAGAAATGTTGGCCTCTTAAAGGTGGTAAAAGCAGATGGACTAGTACTGCTCCAGACTGTACCAAAGTACGAGGAAGGCGTGGGGGAAACATTATGTGGCGGGAACTTGGGTAAAGGGTTAAGGCGGTTACACATATACGTTCCAAACTGCTGGTTCTGAGTGGAAAAGCAAACCTGGAGGCAGAACCGCAGATGTGAATGAAAAACTGATAGTAAAAAGTTTAACCGGGAGGCCGAACTGACGGTTTCAACAGGTTTGGATTTTCTGACTACAGTTCAGCACGTTCCGTTGACGACAGTAGGAGCAGGCATTAGAAGTGCCGAGTACTCGTTTCTCGCGATAAATGCCCTTCCTGTCACTGTCTGGCCACTAAACTACTGGCCGGTACCGAGAAGTGATACCGCTCGTTGGCATGACACAGCGAGTAACGAGAGTGAAAGGCATCCAAGGAAAGAGCAGCACAGCCAGTGAGGAATGACACGCAGACAGTGTTACCCATCACCGTGCCATCCTGTGTCTGAAACTGAAAGGGAGGGGAGAGGGTGGCGAGGCGAGTGGGGCTCAGGGCTCAGGCCAAGGCCAAGGACCTTACTGTACAACCTCCGGGGCCTAGGCCTGGGTCTCCCTACCTTCCTTCACCGCTTGCGCCTGTGCAACAGGGCTAGCCTAGTTTAGATCCACTCTTCCAACGGCGCGAGAAGAGAAATCCCGGCCACAGCCGGACTTCTCGCTAAGCAAACTGCTCGTCCAACGGCGCAAGAAGAGAAATAGGTCATGAGACGAGAAGCACTTTTCGGGACCAGTACCGGTCCCGGCGAGAAATAGGTCAGCTTCTCGGTCTTCTCGCTCGAGAAGAAAAGAGTGCTTCCCGCCCGTCTCTATAGCCTTTGAGTGACGTCACAGGCTAAACTGGCTAATCTTGTCACTCCCAATATCTTCAAAATGATTTACCGCACATAAAATCTGATTACATTTTCTAAATGAGCCACCCAATTTTAAGGCAAGGTACGAGCAGAATTTGTGCTTTTTCAATAATTAAAGAGATTTTTTTAAATTCCCACATAATAATTCATTCACTGAGGGGGTTCAGTACAGGTTTGGACTCTGTGTCACAATGTGCAGTAAAGAACACACTTTCTCTTTTTCTTTTTCTTCACATAAGCTGCAAGCAAATCGTCATTGTCAGTACACTCCACCATTTTATAATTTGACTTGGGCTGCGGTTAAACCGCTCGTGATGTGGATGACGCGCCGACCCGTCGATGGCGGTTTTGCGCGGCGGTTTCAACGCCAGTTCCCACTCTAGTTAAAACCGCCAGGTTGGAACGCTCATGTGTAGCGGCCTTTAGAGATCATCATTTCATAAAGCAATCTTACCCCTGTTCTCATTGCTTCATCAGTTAGGATCTTTTCTCTGGCGACATCAGGTCTGTTCCACTTCATGGCTAGTTTAAGCTGCTTTTCTAAGTTGTTGAAATCTGTTAGAGGTAATCAAACAATCAATCAATCAGCTTACCAATCAATATTTAATTAATCATTCTGTTAATCAAGAGACAAACAATCATTTCACAAATCAATTAACTAACAACAAGTAATCACACGCTCAATAATAACGACAATATGTCATAAAATACACAGTGCATAAGAATAATGCGGTATTAGTCACACACAAACCAACGTATATTGAGAGCACTTTGTTGTTTGGGAGGGTCAGATGGAGTCTCTTTTAATTTCAAAGAGAAGTGGAGAAAGGATGCTTCCCTGAGGCACACATTCCTCCTGCTGGTGAGGATAGGAGAGAGAACAGATCCAACACGAACCTGTAAGAAACGGTTTTATTTCTTAAATTGCCAAGAAAGGCAGTAGGGTGACCGCGTAGGTCGAGAACGTGCAGGTCTTGAAGAATTCCACACTTCAAGGCTGTGCTGAAAGCTTTTACGGGGTCGAAACAAATGGTGATCATGTAGCCTTCTTCGACAAATCACTACCATATATTTATAAAGCTCTATAATAATATGCTCAGTATCTAAGTTTTGACAAATTTGACGTAAAAACATGTCAGATTTTTTCCAATGCAGTTCTTTGAATATCTTGATAACGACTTCAAATAATCTCACAATTTTGATAGAGCAGAGAGACCATATTATTATTTGGTTTCTGACATCATGGTCTTGGTAACTCAAAATGGCCAAAAATGTCAGACAGAATTTTGTCATTCTAGGTACTGGTTATCGAAATGTCTCGCTTATTGGTATAGGTCTCTTGGTGAACCAGATGACCCAGAGTGGATCGAGTTTTCCAGAATCCGCACTCGACACTGCTCAGTGAACTCGTTGTCTGAACAAACCACATGACATCACCATCATGATTAGATCAGATAACTGCAAGAGTTTCGATTTTGCTTCTTTTTGGGAGGGGCGAAGTGTATTCTACAGAGCAAGTTTCATATTATGTTGGTTAAAAATGTATATTCAAATAGACAACCAAAAGGGGGAGGGGGGGGGGAGGGTAAACAGTATGAAAATCAGATAACTTCAAGCCGTCCTTTTTAATAATTCAGATTTTTCCTTCTCCTGAAAAATGTACCAGATGTCACTTAACTGATCTTTTCAAGTTACGATGAGCCGTTTGCTGATTTTTTTCCCTCCAAGTTAACACAGCCAGCTATTGAAGGCGATTGGCCTCTAAAAAAATGGATGGAAAATATGTGTAGTCTCTTCCTGATTTGAGAACAGGAATGACTGTGATATTCATTGTATTTAGTTATTTATTGTATAACGTCCAAAGGCGTACCTTGCAGTATGGAATTCAAGATGGCGAGGTCGATGTCAGTGGACGAGTTGACGTCATCCATCTCAAAGACGGAGATGTTGGGGTAGTAGTAGCAGACTGACCTCACCTGGCGCTGGAACTTGGCCAGGTTTTCGGACGGAAGTTCGGCCCTGTTGAGCAGCATGTGGGTGATCTGGGACTCGGTCACTTTGTCCAGGCGCGCCACCCGTCTGAAACGGTGGAGTTCTATCAGTTCGCTACCTCAGAAAGTTCTATCTGCACCGTGCCTAGTTTTTAGAAATTTGACGTCAAAGACTTTGAGTTTCACATCATGTCAAGCTTTTCGAATGCACTTCTTTGAAAATCTTGATAATGACTGCAAAAAGTAAAAGTGGCAGACCAACTGGAAGTTACAGAGGCACAATTATGGATGAGACAATCACACAGGGCCTGGAAGTACCGAGATTTTAGAAAGTGACCAGGGACAGGCAAGCGATGCGTCGACTGCTCTCCGCTTAATGTGTATGACGGCATAAGGAGAGAGTACGTAAGAGAAATCAATTTCAATTTCTGAATGGGGATTATCGAGGATCTCGATCTTTCTGCTGGAATGTTGTATCCCTCTAAGCACAGGCTGACCCTGACAGTCAGGGGAGGAAGCTCGCTTCCTTAATGACCTAAATTGTTTCTATGTGATCGTATAAACACTTACATTGAAAAGGATTTTCTTTAACAAATCAATTAATTAAAAACAAGTTGGCATTATTTCATAGCGTTCACGTCTTTGCTTGTCATTTCAAGTTTCAGTAAAGGAAAACAGCTGCAAAATATGTATGAAGAACGAATTATGCTCCTTTTAAGTGCACGAAAACAGCACATCTTCAAGCATTGTCGAAAGACCAGAATGCACGACCTAGTGGGGTTATAATAATAATTTCATTAATTGCATTTATATAGCGTACACCACTGCTCTACAGCAGGCTCTATGTGCTTTGCAACCATTATTACCCCAGCAGACCCTCCGAGAACATTCAGAAACACTCTCGACTTCCCGGGAAGCATACAGTGAAAGCAGCAGATTCCACTCGCTCAAACACTATCAAACTGACAAGATCTTTTACAAGCTATAGCTGGTACCCATTTCTATCTAGAAGTGAGGAAAACTTTAAAAAACTCGAGTCCTAACTATATAACCACTAGGCCACCAACGCCAATCCATAGGTAATGCTTCATTCCTTGAAAAGGCGATTTATTGTTATTTGTAGATTGCGCGGTTCCTACAACGTACCCCCCACACACACGCGCGCACGCCATTACCTTCTCTCTTTGTCGCCCTTCTGGTTGTACACTGTCTCTTCTTCATACTTCAATTTCTGGTAAGCAAAAGCCAGCACGTCAGCCACTCGTCCCGAGCCCTAGCAACAAAACGCGACATGAAACTTCAGGTGATATGGGGCAGGGAGGGGGCAGAAGGATTGGGGGGGGGGGGGAGGGGAAAGGGGATGGTGGGAGGTGGAAGAAGGGGACGGTGTGGTGGAGGGGGGGTGGGAAGGGAAAGTAATGGAGTGGCGGGGGAAGGGTTGGGGGGTGAGGGGAATACTTCCTTTCTATTTTTTTCTGTCCTCATATAGCATGAGGTGTCGAGGGGAGATGCAATTGTCGGAAGTGGGCCATGTGTGTTTCCGTTTGGATCGTCATGTTGTTCTTTTTGGAGGGTCTCTTTGACTCCATCGATCCATCTTTTTCTTGGTCCTCCTTTTGCTTTGAAGCCATTGAATTTCATGTAGTAGACCTTGGAGGAAGGCCATGTTGTGGCCCTATTCTCATGGCATGTCCAAACCACCCTATTTGTTGTTTCTCGATGTGCATATTGTATTTCATTCTCACTTTGATGCGCACGTGATGCCTTTGTTTCTTTGTTTGCCTATTGTAATGTTTAATATTTCTCTACCAGACCTGTAATGGTGACATTGCAGGTTCAGAAGTTCGAGCCTCAGCTCGGTCCGAGGTTGTGTCCTAGGAAAAGTCACTTTACACGAACTTCCTATTTGATTCGGTTTCTTTCGGAGATGGACATGAAATTCAGAGGTACCGCCTCTGAAATAGCCTAATAGTGTTGATAAGAGCTTTATACCTACACCATTTCACCATTTTCAGCATAAGGGGGTAACCTTTCTGCGCTTCCGAGTGCGCTGCTAGCTCGGCTGTGGTGTCATACAGGGCTCTAGTGTGGGGGGCTGCCCATAACTAGTTTGTCACAATTTCATCTAATTATTTGAGTATTGATGACAGTCATAATCACAGCACTTTAACACTGTAGTTGAAACTTCAGGTTTTTTTATTCTCCACCTTCAAATTGGTGGTGTAGAAATAGTCCCTCTAAAATGTAATTTTTTTTTCTTTTTGTATGCAAATCAAAGAAAATTACTCTGTAAAATTTCAGCAATGAATGCTCATTCGTTAAAAGCAATTGAAAAATAAAATTCAATCAATAATTCATTTACGTGTCGACTTGACGAGTTCAGACACTCCGACTCTTAAGGGGGATGGGGTGGGGTGGGGGGGGGCTGCTGCTGAAAGCTATATCGCTTATTAGAGGTCAAATGTTACCAATTTTCACACATATAACAAGCATAGTAAGGAGTCTTAAAATCCGCAATCAAATTTGATAAATGAGTTTCGTTTCCATGGATACAGTGGCTATATTGGATTTTGTTGATACGTCTTACGTAATTAATATCGAACTTATTTTTTCATTGAAATAAATCGTTTGTTTTTTGCCTTCATCTTAGCAAACAATAGATCTACAAGTTTGAGTGATGAATTTTTCCTACACATACTAGAAACATTTTTATGAATTTATTCCTGAAGTAGTATTCACGTTTGCAAAAAATCAATGAAAATCTACACTCCAAACATCACCCACTAAAAGCTATTCCATAAATCAAAAATATTCATTAACCAAAATTTTAGTATTACGTCTTTTCTTCGTTTCGTGAAAATTTCATGAAGATTGGATGAAAAATAGTGGAGCTATTTAATAAACCACGTTTCGAAAAAACGGGCGATAAAGAAAAATAAAAGATTGACTGTGCGAGGAAACTGTGGTGACCAACATGGCTGGCGGCTGGTATGGGAAGAAATAAGGCCTTATGGGGTTCTAATGCGATGAAAGAGCAACGC